CCGGGGGGTCCTGGGTGCGGGCCCCTACCTCTGTCTGCACCATGGCGGGCCGCTGCGTGCGCAGGGTCTTCACCGTCTGGAACATGTCGACCGCCCCCTCGTAGCGCATGCGCTCCAGGACGATGCTGAGGGTGACGAAGACGCCGGTGCGCCCCACCCCGGCGCTGTGCAGCATAGAGAGCAGAGGGGCCGGGAGCAAAGCCGCCCCCCCCGGCACAGCCCTGCCAGGTCCCCCGGGAGCCAGGCCCATTCGGCCACTGTGCACCTGCCCGATGAAGTCGATGAAGCCCTCGCCCGTCTTGGGCACGCCCTGCTCGGGCCAGTCCGTGAACTGGAACTGGCCTGCGGAGAAGGAGGCGCCCGTCTCTGGCTGCTCACGGGCCAGCCTGGTGCCGCGCAGCGCGGGGGAGGGGGCACGGGACGTCTCACTGGCCCAGCCGGCTGGGCTCAGATGAAGGTGCAGCCCGGCCCACATGCACGGGGGCCCTGGGGTGCGAGAGCTGGGCCCCGCCCCCGTGTGACGGCGCGTTGGGGGTTCCCCGTCTCCTGCACCCCCGAAATGGCACAAACAGGCTGCACCTGCCGCCAGCCAGTGGAATTGAGGGTGGTTTATTGCTCCTCCAGCACAGCGCAGCACAGATGTAATCTGGTTACAGGAACTGGGCTAGGATGCCTCAGGCCCCCTTGAGATGGGGGAGACTGGGCCCCTAAAACTCCAGCTCCTCTCCCTAGGCTGTCTCATCCATCCTCACAGACAGCCACCAACCAACTAACCCACTTCCAGCCCTGCCCCCCAGCCAGGGCCGCATTCACCTTCCTTTGTTCCTCTCCATGGGGGGTGTCTGGCCACTGGTTCAACCAGTTTGGCCTTACCTCTGCCTAGTGAGGTTTTCCCTGCTGGGTCTTGCTCCAGACAGCAGGGGTCACCACAGCCCAGCAAGTACCCCCACTACGTCACACCCCGGCAGCCCCCACTCACCCTGGCGTCAGTGACCTTGAACTCGCGGAGGATGTACTGGGGCATGTTGTACTCGGCCATGGGGTCCACCACGAAGTACTGGT